CCAGGCAGCGACTGGCAGACCCCAGACATGGGGTAGCAATGAGCAGACCCAGCAAGGTGGAGATTGAGAAGCGAGGCACCGTGTGCAAGGTAGCTGGCTGACCGGGTAGCAATTCCACATTTGTGTGCAGATAACTGGGGAGCGAGACAGATCTCGCAACCCAGGGTCCTAGCTCCGGGAAATAAATACTAATTTATTTCCCTATTGAACACTGATTGAAAACACTTGTGGGGGTTGAGGCACAGGGAGGGACTCCAGCCCTCACAGGAAAGTTTGTTGGAGAAACCCACAGGGTCCTAGATTGCACACAAGTCCACCCACATGGGAATAAGCACCAGAAAGGCCCAGGTTGCTAGGGGGAAGCAGTGGAAGAGACTGAGGTACAACAGAGCAGAGCAAAGCACCATTTTTTTCTCTCTTGGACCCTGCCCCCACATACAGCATCACAACCCAGCCATGGGGGTTAAATTGCCCTGGTGAACGCCTAAGGCTCTGCCCCTCATATGTAACAGGTGTGAACAGACCAAAACATTATGGCGCAAGCAGAAAAACAGCTCAAAGCCACAGAGCCAATACTTTTAAGCCACAAAGAGATAGCCAACCTATCAGATGCACAGTTCAAAACACTGGTGATCAGGATGCTCACAGAACTGGTTGATTTTAGTCACAAATTAGAGAAACAAATGAAGGCTAAACTAATTGAAATGATGGAAAATGCACAGGAAACCAATACTGATGGGAAGAAAACTGGGACTCAAATCAATGGAGTGGACCAGAAGGAAGAAAGAAACAACCAAACAGAAAACAATAAAGAAACAAAAATTCAAAAAAAAAATGAGGAGAGGCTTAGGAACCTTTAAACAACAGGACATCTTTAAACCTTCCAACATCCAAATTATAGGGGTGCCAGAAGGGGAACAGGAAGAGCAACAAGTGGAAAACTTATTTGAACAAATAATAAAGAAGAACTTCTCCATTCTGGCAAAGAAAGTAGACTTCCAAGAAGTCCAGGAAGCTCAGAGAGTCCCAAAGAAGGTGGTCCCAAGAAGGAACACACCAAGGTGCATTATAATTACATTAGCCAAGATTAAAATGAAGGAGAGAATCCTAGAAGCAGCAAGAGATTAAGGGGACAGTCACCTACAAAGGAGTTTTCATCAGACTGTCAGCTGATTTCTCAAAAGAGACCTTACAGGCAAGAAGGGGCTAGAAAGAACTACTCCAAGTCATGAAAGACAAGGACCTACATCCAAAATTGCTCTACCCAGGAAAGCTTTCATTTAGAATGAAAGGACAGATAAAGTGCTCCTCAGATAAGGTCAAGCTGAGGGAGTTCATCATCACCAAGCCCTTATTATATGAAATGTTAAAGGGACTTATCTAAGAAAAAGAAGACAAAAAACATATACACTAAAATGACAGCAAACTCACAATTACTAACAACCACACCTAAAATAAAAACAAACTAAGGAAACAACTAGAACAGGAACAGAACCACAGAAATGGAGATCACATGGAGGGTTAGCAACAGGGGAATGGGAGAAGGGGGGGAAAGGTACAGAGAATAAGTAGCATAGATGGCAGGCAGAAAATAGACAGGGGGAGGGCAAGAATAGTATGGGAAATGTAAAAGCTAAAGAACTTATGACACATGGACATGAACTAAAGGGGGGAATGTGGGTGGGAGGGGTGTTCAGGGTGGAGGGGAATGAAGGGGAGAAATGGGACAACTGTAATAACATAATCAATAACATATATATTTAAAAAAATTTAGCCCTGGCTGGTGTAGCTCAGTGGATTGAGCGCGGGCCTGTGAAGCAAAAGGTTGCTGGTTTGATTCCCAGTCAGGGCACATGCCTGGGTTGCAGGCCAGGTCCCAGCAGGGGACACGAGAGGCAACCACACATTGATGTTTCTCTCCCACTCTCTCCTTCCCTTCCTTTCTCTCTAAAAATAAATAAATTAATTAAATATTTTTTTAAAAGAATTTAAAGTTCCACCAAGATTGAGGCATAGGTGGAGACACCGTGCTTTCTCACACAACCAAGTTTAGAGACAACAAAATATTAGCAACAGAAAACACAGCCAAAACACAAAAAATCAAACTTTTCGGAAGTCTGATAACAACAAATTCTTCAGCCTGACCGGTAAGAGGGGCGAAGCCAGCAGCTGGAGGAGTAGGGTTGCACAGGAAAACTCGGTCAGAGGACTCAGGCCCGGAGATCCCAGGCTTGGGGTTGCAATGGGCGGACCCAGTGAGCAACCCAGTGAACGACCCAGTGAGCAACCCAGTGAGCGACAGGTGGACCGAGCAAGGGCGCAGGGCGGGGGGTTGACTGTGGTGCCGAATTCCTTCGCAGACAGAGCAGCGAGGGAGCGGGCGGTGAGATGGGACGGAGCAGGCCCCAGCAGCGAAGGCGACAGAGGGAGCCGCCATTTCCCTGCTCTGACCCCGGCCCCACATACAGCGTCACAACCCAGTGACCTGAGTAGCCCTACCCTGGTGAACATCTATGGCTCTGCTCCTCACCCAGCGGCAGGAAACAGGAGAGGGGGACACCATTTCCCCACTCTGACCCCACCCCCACATACAGCGTCACAACCCTGCAACCCCACCCTGGTGGCCCCACCCTGCTCCTAAGGCTCTGCTCCTCATACTTCACGGGCACAAACAGACCAAAAATGGCTCAGGAAGATCTCAAAGCCCCAGAGCCGATAAATCTAAGCAATGAAGAAATAGCAAAACTTTCAGATGCACAGTTCAAAACACTGGTTATCAGGATGCTCACAGAACTGGTTGATTTTAGTCACAAATTAGAGGAATATATGAAGGCTAAACTAATTGAAATGAAGGGAATTCCACAGGAAACCAATAGTGATGAAAAGGAAACTGGGACTCAAATCAAGGGAGTGGACCAGAAGGAAGGAAAAAATGACCAAACAGGAAAATATGAAGAAACAAGAAGTCAAAAAAATGAGGAGAGACTTAGGAACCTCCAGGACATCTTTAAACACTCCAACATCCGAATTATAGGGGTACCAGAAGGGGGAAAGGAACAACCACCAGTGGAAAACTTATTTGAACAAATAATGAAGGAGAACTTCCCCAATCTGGCAAAGGAAATAGACTTCCAGGAAATCCAGGAAGCTCAGAGAGTCCCAAAGAAGTTGGACCCAAGAAGGAACACACCAAGGCACATCATAATTACATTAGCCAAGATTAAAATAAAGGAGAGAATCCTAGAAGCAGCAATAGATAAGGGTACAGTCACCCACAAAGGAGTTCCCATCAGACTGTCAGCTGATTTCTCGAAAGACACCTTACAGGCAAGAAGGGGCTGGAAAGAGGCATTCCAAGTCATGAAATCCAAAGATCTACATCCAAGATTACTCTATCCAGCAAAGCTTTCATTTAGAATGGAAGGACAGATAAAGTGCTTCTCAGATAAGATCAAATTCAAGGAGTTCATCATCACCAAGCCCTTATTACATGAAATGTTAAAGGGACTTACCTAAGAAAAAGAAGATTAAAAAAATGAACAGTGAAAGGACAGCAAACTCAGTTATTAACAACCACATCTAAAACAAAAGAAAACTAAAAAGGACAGCTAGATCAGGAGCAGAAACATAGAAATGGAGATCTCATGGAGGGTTAGCAACCAGGGAGTGGGAGGAGGAGAAGGAGGGAGAAGGTACAGAAAATAAGTAGCATAGACGGTAGGTAGAAAATAGATAGGGGGAGGGCAAGATTAGTATGGGAAATATAAAATCTAAAGAACTTGAGACACGTGGTCATAAACTAAAGGGGGGGAATGGTGGGGTGGGGGTGCATGGTGGAGGGGAATGAAGGGGGGAATAGAACAACTGTAATGGCATAATCAATAAAATAAAAATTAAAAAATAACAATTAAAATGCCAAAGTTTAAGGATAAAGAGAGAATCTTAAAAGCAGCAAGAGAAAAGAAGTTAGTTACCTACAGGTGAGTTCCCATAGACTGTCTGCTAATTTCTCAAAAGAAACTTTGCAGGCTAGAAGGGATTGGCAAGAAATATTTGAAGTCATGAAAAACAGGGACCTACAGCCAAGATTGCTCTACTCAGCAAAGCTATTATTTAGAATTAAAGAGCAGATAAAGAGCTTCCCAGACAAGAAAAAACTAAAAGAGTTAATCATCATCAAACCATTATTATATGGAATGGTAAAGGAACTTATTTAAGAAAAATAAAATCAAAACTATGAGCAATAAAATGGCAAATATATATAAACAATTTAGTCTAAAAAGCAAATTAAGCAAACAAGAAGAACAGAGACAGAAGTATGGATACAGAGACCATTTTGATGATTGCCACATGGGAGAGGGCATGGGAGAATAGGTGAAGAGGTGGAGGATTAAGAAGAACAAATATGTAGTTATGGAATAGCCATGGGGATGTAAAATACAGTGTAGGAAATGGAGTAGCCAAAGAACTTATCATACACATGACCCAAGGACATGAACAATGGTGGGGGATTGCCTGAGGCAGTAGGGGGTGCTAGGTGGAGGGGGGCAAAAGGGGAAAAATCAGGACAACTGTAATATCACAATCAATAAAATATAATATTTAAAAAAGAAAAAATAAATAAAAATAAAAAGAATTTAAAGACTCAATTTCTAGACACTTGACCTAACAAAATCTATAGGTAATCACTTCACTGAGCTATAACCCACCTGTTAATGAGCTTACCCACTCCTAGGTGCTTATCTGTTTCTACAGAGGCACAGTTTTGCGGTCTGGAGAAACCTACAACCTTCCAATAACCTGCGATACCTCCTCATGGTCTAAGTATGCTCCATCCAGGGCCTTGAAGGAGCCAGCTGTGGAAATAGGGCTGCAGATGTGGAACCCAATGTTTTGGAGAAGAAAATGCTTTTCCTCTTTGCTCCCTCAGCCCCTCCCACATGCCTCAGAAGTAAGTCTCCACACTGAGATATTTTCAGTCCACTGAGAGTTTCTAATACCTTCGCAGGTGTCAAAGCCCATGTTTTGGAAGGTCCCATGGTCTTTTTCACCATCCTCTCCATGCCACTTGTTCAACTGAGTCACTTTGGATTTCTGCCTGTTGAGAGAAACATGGGAGAGATCTCATTTGGAGCAGAGAATGGGAATAAAAATCTGGGGATTGGCTCTGTCCACCCCAAGGATAACATAATTAAAAACAGGGGGGGTCAGGAAAGGAGGAGGAGATGGAGGCAAATGGAAAAGTCAGTGGCAGTGGCTCACCTTTTCACCTCTCTCCTGAAGCGGAACACGAACACCAGGATGATGACAAGGACAATCAGTATCACTGCACCCGCTGCCCCCAGGAGCCCGTACACCAGGCTCTTCTTGGTGCTAAACTCGCAGGTTTCCCCCCTGTACCAGTCAGTGTCCGTGGTCAGGCAGCTGAGATGGAGAGAAGGAGCAGGTGAGGAGAGGGAGCCATTCAGAATCGGCCAGCCAATGCCCACTGTCCCCCAGCCTCAGAACAAGCCCTGACCCCACAAGTGGATAATGAGGAAAAGGTGAAGAGATTGATGGGATGCACAGTAAGGAGCCCTGAGGGGATGAACAGAAACAAAGTCCAGCTTCCATGGGTGGGCCTTAAATAGACACAATACCCAGCTCTAGGCCTATAGGTTCTACAACCAAGACCTAACTGGCCCACCTAGGATTTCCCTGTACTGCACCCAGCAACTTGAAAACCCAGAAAAGACCATTTCACCCACACAGTAACCATCTTAGTTTTCAACCTCTCTCTCTATGAGGAAGAACAATCCCCCATGCCTGATTCAGAACAACTCCTCCTCCCTGGAGATGCCCTTTCTAAACCTTGTTTTTTTCCTCCCCAGGACAGCTTTGCCTTCCTATTCCCTTCGCTTTTACAGGCTTTCCACCCTCCCCATGTAGGTATGATCTTCTATCTCCATTTCACCAGCAGGGGATATTAATCTCTCCCTAGAAGCAAGTCCTGCCCTCCCCATCTGACTAGGGCCTTTCTGAGGCTGGGGCCTTCTCTCTGCTTCCTCAGAGCTTGACAGTCTCCTCTGCTTCACTGGACACAAAACACAGAGAAAGGAGGGCAGCTATTGAACCATTCTCAGTTCATTCTGGACCTGGCCTTGGGGCTCTGGCCATGAGTGTCCTTTGTGGCTGGCTGCATTCAGGAAAGTCCAGGACTCACTCCACAACCTTGGAGTCTTGAGGATTGGGGTTCCCAGGGGGTGCAGAGAGAAAGGCCACCAGCCTGGAGTGGGATGGTGAGACACTCACTAGCAACGCGGGCCACTGCGCTCCAGCATGCACTTCCCATAGTTGCAGTTCAGGGAGGTATTGAAGCCAGGTTCACAGCGGCTAATGCACTTTGGTTTCTGGTCCTCATACACCACGAAGAAGTAGTCAGCAAAGTTTTTCCCAGCTTTCTCCCGGCATTCCTCTGAGGGAGCATGGAGGCACATGATCAAAAGTCTGGGAGCTCTGCCTGCTTCCCCTGCCCTCCCTGAAGCCCCTGGGTCACCAACCTTCAGGGCTGTATTGGGTAATTGAAATGCTTTGCACCTTGGTGGCGTTCTCTTTGAAGCACAGCATGCCTGTGAAGGAGACACAAAGCCCCTGATGAGCTCGTTTAGCAGGGGACTCAGGTGTGTGTATGGGGGGGAGGGCATGGGGGTGAAAATCAGTCCCTACAAAGAGGAAATGGCAGTCTCATTTCCAGCTTTCCAGAGCTGTGACCCACCCCCCAAGTGTCTTTCTTCTCCTATACCCTCCTTGGCCAAGATCCCCACACTTCTCATTGCACTGAGAAACATCTAGGTTGGGCAATAAGTCAGGCTCATCCTCATTTTTGTGCAGATTTGGGATTTAGCACATCTGCCTCTGCATCCTCCTTTCAGAGCCTCTCTTGGCACCTGCCAGTCAGAGTGATAAAGGGTTGGGACTGATTTCTGGTCTCTTAGTGTTCTCCCATTCCCCCACCCCCACCCCATCTGCCTCTCTGCCCTCCCCCACCCCAGGCGTAAGAAGCTCAAAGATTCTTTGAAAGCCTCCTCATGCTCCTCCCCAGAAGCCTAGGAATTTACTTGTGCAGTTATTATCCACCATTACTTGTTCGTTGGTTATATAGTTAATTTTTTGTTCTATCTTCTCGGTGGCATTCTTTAAAACTTCCTCGTATTCCAGGGTGAAATTGGTCTTCAGGAGGACGTCATGCTTCACCACCACACTGCCACGACTGAGCAGAGAGAGAAAGATGTCCTTGGTCATCCTCCCGAGTGCTAATGGGTACTCATCTCCCCAACCCTTTCCCCAGGCAGGCTTTGCCTTCTCAGCCCACATGGAAAGGCAGAGCTGGGAGAGGATGGTTGAAAATGAAGACCCAATGTCTATTGGGTGAAGGCTCTATTGCAGGCACTGCACTTGCACATCACTGTAGGACCCATATCACCTGGAAGACTCCGGGAAGGCTTGGGAATGAAGATGGACAAAGGAATAGTACCATAGAAGTGGTCGACCTTAAGGCATTACTACATTTACTGAAGCAGGAGACTGGGCAGCTTCTGGCAAAGTATCCATAAGGGGCCATTGACCATGGGGGAGGAGGGTGCACCAGGGATTTCTACGAAATTTATGATTTTCTAGGTGATAGGCTGGCTGTGGGAGGTCTGTGAGCCTTAAGACTGTATGCAAAAATTTCAAGGTGCATATGTCCATTTTTTATACTCCTGCAGATATTTGTTAATTCTAAGAGGAGTCCCTGATACCTAAAAGGTTAAAATTCTTGTCAAAAGTTTCTCCCTACTCCCTGCTCAAGAGTTAGGAGAAGCCAGGGCCTCAGACATGCTCACAGCTTCCCTTTGCTTCCTGTCCTTTCCCCTAGCTCCCAATGCCCCACTCTCTGATCAAGAATCATTTTCCTGCAGTGTGCTTTCTCACAGACCTCGGAGCCCAGCTGTCCTCCTAGTTGCCTAAGGAGGTGAGATAGACGAAAACCCACGATGCTTTTAGGCAGGACCATAAAGGTGCTGGCTCAATGCCTGGTCCACAGAGCTCATCCTCTCTCCCTCTGTTGCCTGAGAGACTGAAGGACAGGAGGAGTACAGAGAGGAGGACTGGCACTACAGAGCCCCCTACTCCCACCCCCAACCCCAGGAGCAAAAGAGGGAGTCCGACAGGGCCAGCACATGCCAGTTTGGGAGAGGAGTTTTAGGGGCAGAAAGAAAAACACTGTTTCCTTCCAGAGCAGCTGAGCTGCCTAAAAGCTGCCCTGCCCTGCCCCAGGTTGGCCTGGCACCTGCTGTGCAGGCAGCCTGGGCAGAGACTTGGGAGCCCCACCTGGTCCTATGTGGGGTGGCCTCTCTTGTGAGAGAGATGTTTTATGTTAGAATTGGGGAAGGAAGGAAAATGAAGTCTGGTAAACAGCATTTTCTATGCTTTTTGTAAAAACATTTTTTTCTTTTGTTATAAGTTCCTTTTGAAAATTATCAATGATGGCTCTGTACCATAAGCAAGGATACCTCCCTTGTATCCCCAACGATTTAATGAAGTTGGGATCAGTAACAGGGTAAAGATTCTGTGAGGGAAGAATCCTATCCTAGGCAAATAGGAGTGAATATAGGACAATCTTTTGTCCTAGGGGTTTCCCTTTGCAAGCTAAGTTATCTTGCTTCATCAATAAAGACTAATGGGGTGTCCATCACACAAGTTGTAGCCTTCAGGTGTTCTGGTGTTTTGGTATCTTGGTACTACCACCCTGTAAATGCCTCAGTTTCTTCATCTGCATAATGGGAACAGCCCTACTGACCTCACTCACAGAGTGGTTATGAGCTTTCCTTTGGAAAATGTACATGAAACTATAATAGTTAGAGGGTTTTATGGGCTGAATTGTGTTCCCCAAAACCATACATGTTGAAGCCCTAATCTTCTGGTATCTCACAATGTGTCTTCACAGAAATTATTAAATTAAAATGAGGCTGTCGGACTGAATCCAATCTGATCAGTGTCTTTATAAGAAAAGGAAATTTGGTTACACAAAGAGAACCAGGGATGCACATGCCCAGAGGAAAGACCATGCGAGGACACAGTGGGAAGGCGATTGTCTGCAATCCAAGGAGAGAGGCCTCAGCAGAAACCAAACCTGCTGACCCCTTGATCTTGGACCTCTCACCTCCAGAACCATGAGAAATAAATACCTGTTGTGTAAGCCACCCAGTTTGGGATATTTTGTTATGACAGCTCTAGCAGACTAATTCAAGGGGCATAGTTACAATTGTCTTAATAATTATGACTACAGTTTCCACTCCATAGACCTTTTTCCTAGGAGCCTCAGATACTTACATCAATTCTGTGATGTTAATCCCTTCATACTCAGGGATTTCAGCATAAATGAAGTCCATCTGAAAGGAAAGGAGGCCACTGTTACCCCAGAGGTCCCGCCTGGGGGCCTGCTAGGCCTTTCCATAGAACCTCAGGAGGGCAGAGGACGGACTTGCAGCATCTCCCTGTCCCCACCCCCAGAGGACAGGGGCACTCTGCCCAAGCAAAGATGTCTCTTCCCAGAGACCAGCCCTGCCCCTGGGACTCCTGGGAAGCCCCAGCTGGAACCTTTCTTTGTCTTTCCCCTCCCTCCCTGGAAAGCCCTGAGGAAATGGTGAACTGAGAAACTCGCACACCTCCAACATGACGTTCATCTATGTTCTTAGCCCTTAGAGACCCCTCTCTGGGGAGATCTGAGTAGCAATGGGGACTTGCTGTCCCAGGCCCACCTGATTTGTGAATAATTTACTGAAATTCTGGAACTCCAGAGAAGACCGGTCTTGTAGCTTGTCGGTATAATTCACACTGGTCACTGTTACACTCAGTTTCATCTCCGCAGAGACAGTCTCCGGAGGTTCTGAGGGGGGTCAGACAACAGCGTCACTGAGGGCAGGACCCACTAAACTTCCTACCCAGGAGATCCATATCACTGGTGACTATGCCCTGAGTGGGGGAGTAGCCTGGTCTCCCACCCCCAACCCCCACTCAGATCTCACCAGAGTGCCCCTGGAGAGAGGAGGTACAATGTACTCCTCATGGCTCTGCAATGGAGCCCAAGGGACCTTGGGTCTAAGTGTATTAGAGAAATCTATACACTTTTTCTATTCTTCTCCATCATATACTCACTTATTTTAAGTATATTTTATGGTAAAATCTGTACCAAATTTGGATTTTGTTCCAAACTATACCTTCTTGATTTATTCATTTAAAAAATATTTCAACTTTCTTAGCACTGGGTAAAATCATTCTTGCCCCAGAAAGAGGCCATATTGCTAGCAAAGAAGGAGCAGGAATGGTTGCCTAGTGTGGAGGTGTGGCCCAGGGTTGGGGAAGAAAGAGCCCTGCAGTTTTACTCACTTATCTCGATGCTCGAGACCACCTCCTCACACCTCTGCCCCTGGTACAGGCTGGTGCACACACACTTGATTCCATCCCAGGAGCCTCCATTCTGGCAGACCACTGTCTCAGACTGGCACGTATCTCCTCTAAAGCCAGGGAGACAGTCACAGGCCTTCCCGTTCCATGTGCCTCCGTTGAGGCACTTCACTGAAAGGGACAAGACCCATCTCAACCACATGTATTTGTGCGGTACTTTATAGCTTGCAACATATTTTCACAGACCACAATGTAATTTGATGTTCTCTGAGCCCCTGGGTGGGAAAGGCAGTATTATGCTCACTTTACAAATGGGAGAAGTGAGGTGGAGTGAGGCTAAGGTTCCATGTGGAAGCAGAGTTGATCTGGTTGTGGAGTCCTATTTCCAGCATGCTTTCCTTTAGCCCCAGAAATCAAAGAAAGAAAAACCTGGTGTTGTGAGAAGTGGGGGCAACACAGTCAGGACTGAGGGTGAGAAAAAAAGATACAGAGACTGAAGAGAACTCAGAGAACTTCATCAGTGTGGAATCCACCAAGGTTGGGAATAAGCATGCCATTGTCCTGCAACGCCTGGTTCAGAGGAGCTTGTTCTGGACATCATTGCCATTGTGACTATTTCTGACCCATTTTTAATTTTCTGGGACATGGAATTTGAGGAAGGAGTGCAGACTTAGTTTAAAGATAGGAAGTGGTTATAGACAGCTCTCAAACATCTATGCCAACCAACCTGGAAAATCAAAAGTTCTGTTCTTTTTGGCTTTTCTTGAAAAGAGCTGTGCTTGTGAAGACCAGTATTTGAGGTACAGCTCCTCTGGGGAGGCACTTGAGGGGTGCATGCACTCTATGAAACCCTGCCCTACCTCTCTCTCCTGGTCTACCCCACAAGACTCAGAGAGCAGGAGCCACACCCATAACAGTCACATCGAACTGCCTCTGCTTATAACCTCTGGTCCAAGATATTCAGGAAGAATGGGAGAGATGACACAAGAGTCCTTGGCACAACGGAAACTCATGAATCCTCTCTCTCTCTCTACTGAAGAATGTCCAGACTGGACCAAAGTGCTTAAGCCCATAGTTGTGAGTAAAGCAAAAGCAGATGCTTGGGGGTGTTCACCTGTTGCCCAACGGTCTAAAGATAAAGCCAACCTCGAGGGGATAGGAGAAAGACAGAAGGGACCATCTGCCTTCAGGGAGATAACCAAAACTAGCTCCAGGCTCAGCAGTCACACAGCCAACTGGCATTCGCTGTGAAACACCTGCAGGATTTACTGGGAACACAAGGTGTACAACTCCCTTCTGATGACCCTCAGTCCACCACCTAAGAACCAGAGAGAACTCACCAAACAAAGACATATTGGAGAGAAACCAGAGAACAAAACCACATAATAGAAAGGTCAGGGAAAGCAGAACTCAACAGAGGAACAATTTACAAAGCCTTAAGAAAATGCAGCAGGCAAAAACTGAAGAACTGCCTTTCATCTTTATCAATGTAAGACAGATTGGGCAGTGTCAGACATAGGTCACATGTCTGTAAGCATATCTAGTGTTCATTTAAATCAGTAAAGCTTTCAATTATTTTAACTAGTACACCACAAGTCCTCACTTAACAATACCAATAGGACTGCAAATTAAAATAATGTGTAATAAAACCAACTTTACCATAAACTGACTGATATAAACAAGAGTTAAGTTCCTAAGTCATCTCATTAATACTATAATAAAATGAAGTTACAGGAGACATTATTTGAAGACCTACTGTACTTCCTTCAATGTATGTCAAATACCCTTTCCCAATCTCATAATAATACTGACTGGTGTAATAGTATACCATATACTATATACTGTATATAATAAAATAACACTATATTATAACAGTGGGTATGAAGTGGGTCAGTCAGTTCTCATCTAACCAGAGTGAAGACAGCTGAGTAAAATTTCTAGAATCAAAGAGAAGAGATGGAAGCATACGGATAAACATTTGAGGACATAGAGGCAGAGTTCAGAGTGGATTAAAATGAACCTTCTTTTGCCTCTATGGTGGAAGCTCAGAGGATAAACTAAAACAAAATAGAAGTAAAAGGCAGCATAGAAACTGTTGCCAAGCTATATGTAAATACTATTGGCAACATCTCCTGCAAAACAGAACAAAAACTAAACCTTTCCACTTAAACATGACCAAAAGCAATGGGGAAAACTCTAAAAAGAAGTGAAACTGAGAATGAAAGCCATGAAGTAAATGAAATTATAATATATAAAATGCAATAGAATGGGCAGTCCTAGAGTATAAATACTGGTATACGAAGTGTGTGGATACCTTAGTGGGAAATATAGGTGAGTGTCAAAGTTAGAAGAGATAAACTTTGCTGTAGAAAACAGTAACCTAGGTAACATCAAAGATGAAGAGAAATCAATAATACAGTGAAAGACTAAAGAACAAATTGTTTAATGGAAGACAGTAAGAGTAAAAGAAGTACATGACTACACACTTATAATTATAAACAACAGAAGGGAGAGATTGAATAAATATAAGTTCAACAAAAACTTAAAAAATTACTTACATGATGTGGTTGGGGGAGCACTAGATGTAGAGGCAGTGGAGCTCTTCATTGTGGAAAGAGTCAGCAGAGAGGTGATCACAGAGGTCAAAGTTGTGGATGTGGTGGTGTCCACAGTGGATGTCACTGGGGTGCTGGTTTCACTGGTCATTGTTGAAACTGTGCTACTTTCTGTGGAAGGTGGATTGAAAGTGGTGCTGTCAGTCAGAATTGTTGAGGAGGTGAAACTGCCTGTAGAAGGTGCTGAAGAAGACATAGCCTCTGTAGAGGTCGTCAACAAGGAGGTGCTCACAGAAGTAAATGCTGCAGGTGTCGTGGTGTCTGCACTGGATGTCACTGGGATGCTGGTTTCACTGGTCTTGGTTGAAACTGTGCTACCTTCTGTGAAAGGTGAACTGGGAGTGGTGCTGTCAGCTGTAGTTGAGGAAGGACCAGCTCCTGTAGACCCTGCAGTAGAGGCGGAACTGCTTGTAGAAGGTGCTGAAGATAAAGTCGATTCTGTGGAGGTCGTCAGGGGGGAGTTGCTCACAGAAGTAAATGCTGGTGTTGTGGTGTCTGTAGTGGATGTCACTGGGATGCTGGTTTCACTTGTCATTGTTGAAACTGTGCTACCTTCTGTGAAAGGTGAACTGGGAGTGGTGCTGTCAGCTGTAGTTGTTGAGGATGTACCAGCTCCCGTAGACCCTCCAGTAGAGGCGGAACTGCTTGTAGAAGGTGCTGAAGATGACATAGCCTCTGTAGAGGTCGTCAACAAGGAGGTGCTCACAGAAGTAAATGCTGCAGGTGTCGTGGTGTCTGCACTGGATGTCACTGGGATGCTGGTCTCACTGGTCATTGTTGAAACTGTGCTACCTTCTGTGAAAGGTGAACTGGGAGTGGTGCTGTCAGCTGCAGTTGAGGACGGACCAGCTCCTGTAGACCCTGCAGTAGAGACGGAACTGCCTGTAGAAGGTGCTGAAGATGACATAGCCTCTGTAGAGGTCGTCAACAAGGAGGTGCTCACAGAAGTAAATGCTGCAGGTGTCGTGGTGTCTGCACTGGATGTCACTGGGATGCTGGTCTCACTGGTCATTGTTGAAACTGTGCTACCTTCTGTGAAAGGTGAACTGGGAGTGCTGCTGTCAGCTGTAGTTGAGGAAGGACCAGCTCCTGTAGACCCTGCAGTAGAGGCGGAACTGCTTGTAGAAGGTGCTGAAGATAAAGTCGATTCTGTGGAGGTCGTCAGCGGGGAGTTGCTCACAGAAGTAAATGCTGGTGTTGTGGTGTCTGTAGTGGATGTCACTGGGATGCTGGTTTCACTTGTCATTGTTGAAACTGTGCTACCTTCTGTGATAGGTGAACTGGGAGTGGTGCTGTCAGCTGCAGTTGTTGAGGATGTACCAGCTCCCGTAGACCCTCCAGTAGAGGCGGAACTGCTTGTAGAAGGTGCTGAAGATGACATAGCCTCTGTAGAGGTCGTCAACAAGGAGGTGCTCACAGAAGTAAATGCTGCAGGTGTCGTGGTGTCTGCACTGGATGTCACTGGGATGCTGGTTTCACTGGTCATTGTTGAAACTGTGCTACCTTCTGTGAAAGGTGAACTGGGAGTGGTGCTGTCAGCTGCAGTTGAGGACGGACCAGCTCCTGTAGACCCTCCAGTAGAGACGGAAGTGCCTGTAGAAGGTGCTGAAGATGACATAGCCTCTGTAGAGGTCGTCAACAAGGAGGTGCTCACAGAAGTAAATGCTGCAGGTGTCGTGGTGTCTGCACTGGATGTCACTGGGATGCTGGTCTCACTGGTCATTGTTGAAACTGTGCTACCTTCTGTGAAAGGGGAACTGGGAGTGGTGCTGTCAGCTATAGTTGAGGATGGACCAGCTCCTGTAGACCCTGCAGTAGAGACGGAACTGCCTGTAGAAGGTGCTGAAGATGACATAGCCTCTGTAGAGGTCGTCAACAAGGAGGTGCTCACAGAAGTAAATGCTGCAGGTGTCGTGGTGTCTGCACTGGATGTCACTGGGATGCTGGTCTCACTGGTCATTGTTGAAACTGTGCTACCTTCTGTGAAAGGGGAACTGGGAGTGGTGCTGTCAGATGTAGTTGAGGAAGGACCAGCTCCTGTAGACCCTGCAGTAGAGGCGGAACTGCTTGTAGAAGGTGCTGAAGATAAAGTCGATTCTGTGGAGGTCGTGAGGGGGGAGTTGCTCACAGAAGTGAATGCTGGTGTTGTGGTGTCTGTAGTGGATGTCACTGGGATGCTGGTTTCACCTGTCATTGTTGAAACTGTGCTACCTTCTGTGAAAGGTGAACTGGGAGTGGTGCTGTCAGCTGTAGTTGAGGAAGGACCAGCTCCTGTAGACCCTGCAGTAGAGGCGGAACTGCCTGTAGAAGGTGCTGAAGATGACATAGTCATTCTGTAGAGGTCGTCAACAGGGAGGTGCTCACAGAAGTAAATGTTCCAGATGTCGTGGTGTCTGCAGTGGATGTCACTGGGATGCTGGTTTCACTGGTCATTGTTGAAACTGTGCTACCTTCTGTGAAAGGTGAACTGGGAGTGGTGCTGTCAGCTGCAGTTGAGGACGGACCAGCTCCTGTAGACCCTGCAGTAGAGGCGGAACTGCTTGTAGAAGGTGCTGAAGATAAAGTCGATTCTGTGGAGGTCGTCAGCGGGGAGTTGCTCATAGAAGTAAGTGTTCCAGATGTTGTGGTGTCTGCAGTGGATATCACTGGGGTGCTGGTTTCACTGGTCATTGTTGAAACTGTGCTACCTTCTGTGAAAGGTGAACTGGGAGTGGTGCTGTCAGCTGCAGTTGAGGACGGACCAGCTCCTGTAGACCCTGCAGTAGAGGCGGAACTGCCTGTAGAAGGTGCTGAAGATGACATAGCCTCTGTAGAGGTCGTCAACAAGGAGGTGCTCACAGAAGTAAGTGTTGCAGATGTCGTGGTGTCTGCAGTGGATGTCACTGGGGTGCTGGTCTCACTGGTCATTGTTGAAACTGTGCTACCTTCCGTGAAAGGGGAACTGGGAGTGGTGCTGTCAGCTGTAGTTGAGGAAGGACCAGCTCCTGTAGACCCTGCAGTAGAGGCGGAACTGCTTGTAGAAGGTGCTGAAGATAAAGTCGATTCTGTGGAGGTCGTCAGGGGGGAGTTGCTCACAGAAGTAAATGCTGGTGTTGTGGTGTCTGCAGTGGATGTCACTGGGATGCTGGTTTCACTTGTCATTGTTGAAACTGTGCTACCTTCTGTGAAAGGGGACCTGGGAGTGGTGCTGTCAGCTGCAGTTGTTGAGGATGGACCAGCTCCTGTAGACCCTCCAGTAGAGGCGGAACTGCTTGTAGAAGGTGCTGAAGATGACATAGCCTCTGTAGAGGTCGTCAACAAGGAGGTGCTCACAGAAGTAAATGCTGGTGTTGTGGTGTCTGTAGTGGATGTCACTGGGATGCTGGTTTCACTTGTCATTGTTGAAACTGTGCTACCTTCTGTGAAAGGGGAACTGGGAGTGCTGCTGTCAGATGTAGTTGAGGAAGTTCCAGCTCCTGTAGACCCTGCAGTAGAGGCGGAACTGCTTGTAGAAGGTGCTGAAGATAAAGTCGATTCTGTGGAGGTCGTGAGGGGGGAGTTGCTCACAGAAGTAAATGCTGGTGTTGTGGTGTCTGTAGTGGATGTCACTGGGATGCTGGTTTCACTTGTCATTGTTGAAACTGTGCTACCTTCTGTGAAAGGGGAACTGGGAGTGGTGCTGTCAGCTGCAGTTGTTGAGGATGTACCAGCTCCCGTAGACCCTCCAGTAGAGGCGGAACTGCTTGTAGAAGGTGCTGAAGATGACATAGCCTCTGTAGAGGTCGTCAACAAGGAGGTGCTCACAGAAGTAAATGCTGCAGGTGTTGTGGTGTCTGCACTGGATGTCACTGGGGTGCTGGTTTCACTGGTCATTGTTAAAACGGTGGTACTTTCTGTGAAAGGTGAACTGGGAGTTGTGCTGTCAGCTGTAGTTGAGGATGGACCAGCTCCTGTAGACCCTGCAGTAGAGGTGGAACTGCTTGTAGAAGTTGCTGAAGATAAAGTCGATTCTGTGGAGGTCGTCAGCAGGGAGGTGCTCATAGAAGTAAATGTTCCAGGTGTCGTGGTGTCTGCACTGGATGTCACTGGGGTGCTGGTCTCACTGGTCATTGTTGAAACTGTGCTACCTTCTGTGAAGGGTGAACTGTGAGTGGTGCTGTCAGCTGTAGTTGAGGATGGACCAGCTCCTGTAGACCCTGCAGTAGAGGCGGAACTGCCTGTAGAAGGTGCTGAAGATGACAGTCGGTTCTGTGGAGCGTCAGCAGGGAGGTGCTCATAGAAGTAAATGTTGCAGGTGTCGTGGTGTCTGCACTGGATGTCACTGGGGTGCTGGTCTCACTGGTCATTGTTGAAACTGTGGTACCTTCTGTGAAGGGTGAACTGTGAGTGGTGCTGTCAGCTGTAGTTGAGGAAGGACCAGCTCCTGTAGACCCTGCAGTAGAGGCGGAACTGCTTGTTGAAGTTGCTGAAGATAAAGTCGATTCTGTGGAGGTCAGTGAGGGGACGTTGCTCACAGAAGTAAATGCTCGATGTTGTGGTGTCTGCAGTGGATGTCACTGGGGTGCTGGTTTCACTTGTCATTGTTGAAACTGTGCTACCTTCTGTGAAAGGTGAACTGTGAGTGGTGCTGTCAGCTGTGGTTGAGGAAGGACCAGCTCCCGTAGACCCTACAGTAGAGGCGGAACTGCTTGTAGAAGGTGCTGAAGATAAAGTCGATTCTGTGGAGGTCAGTGGGGAGTGTGCTCATTGAAGTAAATGCTGGTGTTGTGGTGTCTGCAGTGGATGTCACTGGGGTGCTGGTTTCACTGGTCATTGTTGAAACTGTGCTACCTTCTGTGAAGGGTGAACTGTGAGTGGTGCTGTCAGCTAGTTGTTGAGGATGGACCAGCTCCTGTAGACCCTGCAGTAGAGGCGGAACTGCTTGTAGAAGGTGCTGAAGATGACAGTAGATTCTGTGGAGGTCGTCAACAGGGAGGTGCTCATAGAAGTAAATGCTGCAGATGTCGTGGTGTCTGCACTGGATGTCACTGGGATGCTGGTTTCACTTGTCATTGTTGAAACTGTGCTACCTTCTGTGAAGGGGGAACTGGGAGTGGTGCTGTCAGCTGCAGTTGTTGAGGATGGACCAGCTCCTGTAGACCCTGCAGTAGAGACGGAACTGCTTGTAGAAGGTGCTGAAGATAAAAGTCGATCTGTGGAGGTCCGTGGGGACGTGCTCATAGAAGTAAGTGTTCCAGGTGTTGTGGTGTCTGTAGTGGATGTCACTGGGATGCTGGTTTCACTGGTCATTGTTGAAACTGTGCTACCTTCTGTGAAAGGTGAACTGGGAGTGGTGCTGTCAGCTGTAGTTGAGGATGGACCAGCTCCTGTAGACCCTGCAGTAGAGGCGGAACTGCTTGTAGAAGGTGCTGAAGATAAAGTCGATTCTGTGGAGGTCGTCAGCGGGGAGTTGCTCATAGAAGTAAGTGTTCCAGATGTTGTGGTGTCTGCAGTGGATGTCACTGGGGTGCTGGTTTCACTGGTCATTGTTGAAACTGTGGTACTTTCTGTGAAAGGTGAACTGTGAGTGGTGCTGTCAGCTGTAGTTGAGGATGGACCAGCTCCTGTAGACCCTGCAGTAGAGACGGAACTGCTTGTTGAAGGTGCTGAAGATGCAAAGTCGATTCTGTGGAGGTCGTCAGCAGGGAGGTGCTCATAGAAGTAAGTGTTGCAGATGTTGTGGTGTCTGCTGTGGATATCACTGGGGTGCTGGTTTCACTGGTCATTGTTGATACTGTGGTACTTTCTGTGAAGGGTGAACTATGAGTGGTGCTGTCAGCTGTGGTTGAGGATGGACTAGCTCCCGTAGACCCTGCAGTAGAGGTGGAACTGCTTGTAGAAGGTGCTGAAGATAAAGTCGATTCTGTGGAAGTCAGTGGGGATGTGCTCATTGAAGTAAGTGTTCCAGATGTTGTGGTGTCTACAGTGGATATCACTGGGGTGCTGGTTTCACTGGTCATTGTTGAAACTGTGGTACTTTCTGTGAAGGGTGAACTATGAGTGGTGCTGTCAGCTGTAGTTGAGGATGGACCAGCTCCTGTAGACCCTGCAGTAGAGGTGGAACTGCTTGTAGAAGGTGCTGAAGATAAAGTCGATTCTGTGGAGGTCGCAGTGGGGACGTGCTCATAGAAGTAAGTGTTCCAGGTGTTGCGGTGTCTACAGTGGATATCACTGGGGTGCTGGTTTCACTGGTCATTGTTGAAACTGTGGTACTTTCTGTGAAGGGTGAACTATGAGTGGTGCTGTCAGCTGTGGTTGAGGATGGACCAGCTCCTGTAGACCCTGCAGTAGAGGTGGAACTGCTTGTAGAAGGTGCTGAAGATAAAGTCAATTCTGTGGAGGTCAGTGGGGACGTGCTCATTGAAGTAAGTGTTCCAGATGTTGTGGTGTCTGCTGTGGATATCACTGGGGTGCTGGTTTCACTGGTCATTGTTGATACTGTGGTACTTTCTGTGAAGGGTGAACTATGGGTGGTGCTGTCAGCTGTTGTTGAGGATGGACCAGCTCCTGTAGACCCTGCAGTAGAGGTGGAACTGCTTGTAGAAGGTGCTGAAGATAAAGTCGATTCTGTGGAGGTCGTCAGCGGGGAGTTGCTCATAGAAGTAAGTGTTCCAGATGTTGTGGTGTCTGCTGTGGATATCACTGGGGTGCTGGTTTCACTGGTCATTGTTGATACTGTGGTACTTTCTGTGAAGGGTGAACTGGGAGTTGTGCTGTCAGCTGTAGTTGAGGATGGAACAGCTCCTGTAGACCCTGCAGTAGAGGTGGAACTGCTTGTAGAAGGTGCTGAAGATAAAGTCGATTCTGTGGAGGTCGTCAGCGGGGAGTTGCTCATAGAAGTAAGTGTTCCAGATGTTGTGGTGTCTGCTGTGGATATCACTGGGGTGCTGGTTTCACTGGTCATTGTTGATACTGTGGTACTTTCTGTGAAGGGTGAACTATGAGTGGTGCTGTCAGCTGTGGTTGAGGATGGACTAGCTCCCGTAGACCCTGCAGTAGAGGTGGAACTGCTTGTAGAAGGTGCTGAAGATAAAGTCGATTCTGTGGAGGTCAGTGGGGACGTGCTCATTGAAGTAAGTGTTCCAGATGTTGTGGTGTCTACAGTGGATATCACTGGGGTGCTGGTTTCACTGGTCATTGTTGAAACTGTGGTACTTTCTGTGAAGGGTGAACTATGAGTGGTGCTGTCAGCTGTGGTTGAGGATGGACCAGCTCCTGTAGACCCTACAGTAGAGGTGGAACTGCTTGTAGAAGGTGCTGAAGATAAAGTCGATTCTGTGGAGGTCAGTGGGGACGTGCTCATTGAAGTAAATGTTCCAGATGTTGTGGTGTCTGCAGTGGATATCACTGGGGTGCTGGTTTCACTGGTCATTGTTGAAACTGTGGTACTTTCTGTGAAGGGTGAACTATGAGTGGTGCTGTCAGCTGTGGTTGAGGATGGACCAGCTCCTGTAGACCCTACAGTAGAGGTGGAACTGCTTGTAGAAGGTGCTGAAGATAAAGTCGATTCTGTGGAGGTCAGTGGGGACGTGCTCATTGAAGTAAGTGTTCCAGATGTTGTGGTGTCTACAGTGGATATCACTGGGGTGCTGGTTTCACTGGTCATTGTTGAAACTGTGGTACTTTCTGTGAAGGGTGAACTATGAGTGGTGCTGTCAGCTAGTGGTTGAGGATGTACCTGCTCCCGTAGACCCTGCAGTAGAGGTGGAACTGCTTGTAGAAGGTGCTGAAGATAAAGTCGATTCTGTGGAGGTCAGTGGGGATGTGCTCATTGAAGTAAGTGTTCCAGATGTTGTGGTGTCTATAGTGGATGTCACTGGGGTGCTGGTTTCACTGGTCATTGTTGAAACTGTGGTACTTTCTGTGAAGGGTGAACTATGAGTGGTGCTGTCAGCTGTTGTTGAGGATGGACCAGCTCCTGTAGACCCTGCAGTAGAGGTGGAACTGCTTGTAGAAGGTGCTGAAGATAAAGTCGATTCTGTGGAGGTCAGTGGGGACGTGCTCATTGAAGTAAGTGTTCCAGATGTTGTGGTGTCTACAGTGGATATCACTGGGGTGCTGGTTTCACTGGTCATTGTTGAAACTGTGGTACTTTCTGTGAAGGGTGAACTATGAGTGGTGCTGTCAGCTGTGGTTGAGGATGGACCAGCTCCTGTAGACCCTACAGTAGAGGTGGAACTGCTTGTAGAAGGTGCTGAAGATAAAGTCGATTCTGTGGAGGTCCGTGGGGACGTGCTCATTGAAGTAAGTGTTCCAGATGTTGTGGTGTCTACAGTGGATATCACTGGGGTGCTGGTTTCACTGGTCATTGTTGAAACTGTGGTACTTTCTGTGAAGGGTGAACTATGAGTGGTGCTGTCAGCTGTTGTTGAGGATGGACCAGCTCCCGTAGACCCTGCAGTAGAGGTGGAACTGATTGTAGAAGGTGCTGAAGATAAAGTCAATTCTGTGGAGGTCAGTGGGGACGTGCTCATTGAAGTAAGTGTTCCAGATGTTGTGGTGTCTACAGTGGATATCACTGGGGTGCTGGTTTCACTGGTCATTGTTGAAACTGTGGTACTTTCTGTGAAGGGTGAACTATGAGTGGTGCTGTCAGCTGTTGTTGAGGATGGACCAGCTCCTGTAGACCCTGCAGTAGAGGTGGAACTGCTTGTAGAAGGTGCTGAAGATAAAGTCGATTCTGTGGAGGTCAGTGGGGACGTGCTCATTGAAGTAAGTGTTCCAGATGTTGTGGTGTCTGCAGTGGATATCACTGGGGTGCTGGTTTCACTGGTCATTGTTGAAACTGTGGTACTTTCTGTGAAGGGTGAACTATGAGTGGTGCTGTCAGCTGTGGTTGAGGATGGACCAGCTCCCGTAGACCCTACAGTAGAGGTGGAACTGCTTGTAGAAGGTGCTGAAGATAAAGTCGATTCTGTGGAGGTCAGTGGGGACGTGCTCATTGAAGTAAGTGTTCCAGATGTTGTGGTGTCTGTAGTGGATGTCACTGGGATGCTGGTTTCACTTGTCATTGTTGAAACTGAGCTACCTTCTCTGAAAGGTGAACTGTGAGTGGTGCTGTCAGCTGCCGTTGAGGACGTACCAGCTCCTGTAGACCCTGCAGTAGAGGTGGAACTGCTTGTAGAAGGTGCTGAAGATAAAGTCAATTCTGTGGAGGTCAGTACGGGGACGTGCTCATAGAAGTAAGTGTTCCAGATGTTGTGGTGTCTGCAGTGGATGTCACTGGGGTGCTGGTTTCACTTGTCATTGTTGAAACTGTGGTACCTTCTGTGAAGGGTGAACTATGAGTGGTGCTGTCAGCTGAGTGGTTGAGGATGTACCAGCTCCTGTAGACCCTACAGTAGAGGCGGAACTGCTTGTAGAAGGTGCTGAAGATACATAGTCGTCTGTGGAGGTCGTCAACGGGGAGTTGCTCACAGAAGTAAATGCTGGTGTTGCGGTGTCTGCAGTGGATATCACTGGGGTGCTGGTTTCACTTGTCATTGTTGAAACTGTGCTACCTTCTGTGAAAGGGGAACTGGGAGTGGTGCTGTCAGCTGCAGTAGTTGAGGATGTACCAGCTCCTGTAGACCCTCCATTAGAGGCTGAACTGCCTGTAGAAGGTGCTGAAGATAAAGTCGATTCTGTGGAGGTCAGTGGGGACGTGCTCATAGAAGTAAGTGTTCCAGATGTTGTGGTGTCTGCAGTGGATGTCACTGGGGTGCTGGTTTCACTTGTCATTGTTGAAACTGTGCTACCTTCTGTGAAGGGTGAACTATGAGTGGTGCTGTCAGATGTGGTTGAGGATGTACCAGCTCCTGTGGACCCTGCAGTAGAGGCAGAACTGCTTGTAGAAGGTGCTGAAGATAAAGTCGATTCTGTGGAGGTCGTGGGGACGTGCTCATAGAAGTAAATGTTCCTGGTGTTGTGGTGTCTGCAGTGGATGTAACTGGGGTGCTGGTTTCACTGGTCATTGTTGAAACTGTGGTACTTTCTGTGAAGGGTGAACTATGAGTGGTGCTGTCAGCTGTAGTTGAGGATGGACCAGCTTCTGTAGACCCTGCATTAGAGGCGGAACTGCTTATAGAAAGTTCTGAAGATAAAGCAGATTCTGTAGATGTCATCAGCTGGGAATTTCTCATAAGAGTACCTGTTGCTGATATCTTGGTGTCTGCAGTGGATTTCACTGAGGTGCTGGTTTCACTTGTCATTTTTGAACTTTTGCTACTTTCTTTGGAATTTGTACTGGGAGTGGTGTTGTCAGTGGTCACTGTTGAAGGTGTACCTGTTCCTGTAGATTCTCCAGTAGAGTTGGTAGGTCCTGTAGAAATTGTTGGAGATATATTAATCTCTGGATTGTTTGTGAGAAGGCTCTCACTTCCTGAAGGCCATTGTTTGTCTGCATTAGCTTCTTACTGGATTTCTCTCGTGCACTGGTTACATTAATTGCTGTTGATACTCTAGTAACTTTTTTTGAAATTGTACCAGGAGGGGTTTTAGTAACTGATATGAAGGTATATTCTGGTCAGCAGACCCTTCAGTAGAGTTGGCATTGTCATTACATAATGTTGTGAATGCACTGGGCCCTTAGTAGTAGTCTAATTTTTGGTGCTGGCATCAGCGTTTCATAGATAGTTCATCTTAAGAGTTGATGAATAAATGTTAGTGGTACTTTCAGTTCGATAATGTATGTGAGGTTATTTAGAATTAGTCCAAGTATGTTAACCCTTTTATTACAGCTTTTAATGATAAGCTATATATACTCTTTTTGCTTTACAGGAGTCATTGCTAGAAATCATATTTATAGTGGACTGTTGGCTAAAGGTATTTTCAGAGAAATATTCATGTCACAGTGCATTGTCTGAAATAAACTGAATGTAGTTGTTAGAGGCATTTCGTGTCTCATATCTTTTTTTTCCTAACCTGTTTTTAGTGATATTGAGCCTCAACCTTCTTCCATAGCCTGGCTCATTTCCCTTGACCTTTGAGGAATATTTATGAGACCCAAGTATCCAAGCAGTCATGGCCTGTAAAATCAGGTTTCTCTGCCAGCCTACTGAAGATTATTCCAATTTTTTACATGAAGGGGCCTCCTTTGATCTACTTCCTAGGCTACTGTGTTTCACCTGCTTTATTGCTCTGTTGGCTCTGGGGGTCCTAGTCATCTTCCTGGAATATACACCCTCCTCTATTCTAAACAGTCTTGCCCTCGCTGACATCTGAGAGAAAGGGAAGTTAGTCTGCTGGAGCTCTAACCCTGATTCCCAATCTGAGGATCCTTTATTCCCTCAAGACTTCTGTGAGTTCCCCCACCCTCCTCTGGAAAGGGCCCTGGTACCTCAACTACCTCCTTGTGTTACAGTCTAGAAATCAGGCATCAGGACCTAGTCCACACAGAGGTAAAGCAAAAAAATTGGGGCTAGGGGATGAGGTTTCACAAGTCCTTGAGGAGGCCAGGACAATGTCACATGGTGAGGTATTAGACAGGGAACTCCTGCCCAATTCAGGAGTCAGACTTCGAGAAAGTAAGTGTTTACTTGTGGCTACCTCCTTCCCAATGGAATGTGAGCACAGCTGATGGATGCTGGTTCCAGGCTTCTCCCATAAAGCTTCCCTCATGGTCCCAATTGCTCTGCCTGTCGGAAGCAGATGGTGAGAAGGCCCAAGAGAATAGTGAGCCTCAGGAGAAGAAATATAAGTCCCTGAATCAGCACATGAAGGAAAGCTACCTGCCAACCAGGAACATCTCTCTTGTATTGTTGTATGAGCAAGAAGACAATTCTATTGTGGTGGAGCTATTACACATTTGGGCACATTTGTTACAGCAGATACAAAAATATCCTAACTAGTAGAGTGAAGAGCTAAAACAGACACAATTACTCTCATCATCTTAAAAAATTCAAACCATAGTATTAATATTTTTTATTAAACCAACCTGTAGTTTCAACTGAAAATATATAATTGAGTGATGGATTTATATCTGTTATTTTACATTGAAATCTTACTGGGGTTGTAGATAGTATTTGAATGTTTAAGAGAACTTAAGATTCACCATAAATAGTTAATTTATTAGGTGTGTAAAATTACTTTAGTTTTGGGGAAGTTTTAAAATAAATACATTTAATGCATTAGAGTTATGAAGCTTCTTGTGTGCTTAGAAAGGTTTTGTTTATTAACCAAACACTTGAAATCTTTAAACAAAAAATGTAATGTGTTAATTTTATAAATGCAACTTCAAATGTTTAAAGGAATGTAGTTAGCTAAGTATGTAAAATAGATTAAACACTAAGAAAGATCCTCATCAAAGCTTTTGGATTTCACTTCAGGTCAAGATGGAGTAATGAGGGTTGGATTAACCTCCTACCTAAAACAACACCCAGCCCCCAAACAACCATGTAACCATACAAAGTATATGAAACAATGATTTTCAATACACTAGATGTCAGGCAACAAAGGGTAGCGGTTCTCAAGAAACGGGAAACGGACAGGGTGAGCCCTGCAATTGCCCTAGCTTATTGGCTTAAGAACAGATTCCAGACTTCTGCCAAGATGGAGGAGTAGGTGGAAGCACTGCACCTCCTCACACAACCAAGTTTTAAAACAACAAAGTTTCAGCAACAAAAACGCAGCCAAACCACAGAAAATTGAACTATCCGGAAGTCTGACAACAACGAACCCATCAGCCAAACTGGTAAGAGGGGCAGAGCCAGCAGCAGAGGGGGTCAGGCAGGAAAGATCCACCAGACCGACCCGGGCTTGCAACCC